ATTTCAGCAAAGTGAAACTTCTAGGCGGCGCCGGCGGTCTGATATTTAGACGAGAATATGGAAAGTGATTTGAAAAACGCTTCACGAAACGTCACTTTCTGGCAAATTTCGTTACACGAGAGACGAGAAAGAAGGAAGATATAACGTTAACGTAGACTGTAAAGAGACGGAGAAAGCGAGCCAATGACAGACGAGGAACGATTTGACACAAACCAAGGATTATAAACAAAGGGAATTGCCCATGCGTTGTTATTGCGTTGTCAAGCGCCGATACCCTTGCGACGTCACTATAAATGCGCGTCTTTTTTTTGTGTTGCCCTTCGTCTTCACTCTGACTCATACGCTAAGTCAAAAAGCTCTATGAGGGAGGGTATAGTTTTCAAAAAGTTCCACTTCTCTACACGTGTACGATACTATACATGATTTTCCTGAAGTTAAAATTTTTAGGCGGTGGTCTGATTTGGACAAGAATTGAGAAAGTGATTTGAAAGACTCGTTACGTTACACGTAACGACACGTTTTGGCAAATTTCGGCACACGAGCGAGAGACGACTGAGACGAGAGAGAACAAATATATAATGTAGAGAGACGGAGAAAGACAGCCAAGGACAATGACAGCCAACGAAGTTCTGTACCGACGAACGATTGACACAAACCAAGGTTTATATGCAAGAAGGATTGCCTATTATTGTCAAGCGCCGATACCCTTATGACGTCACTACAGATGGGCGTTTGTCTTTTGTGTAGCGTTTCGTCTTTATACCTCGACTCATATGCGCCAAGCATAGGCGCCGGAACCATGGGGGCAATGGGGGCTTGAGCCCCCTTAGTAAATTTGCTATGGGGGCGGAGCCCCCATATTGACTTTGGTATTGTATGTAGTGGGTAAATTCAAAAATATTGAGTTCCTAACCTAACTATTTATTTCTATATCAAACTTGTTTGTTTTATGTTATGATAGGTATGTTCACATCACATGAATATATTATGATGTACCAATACACTGGGCTTTTTTCACCTAGTTTATCATGAAAAATTTATGTACAGACCGGACCAACCTACTAGACACATAGGGAGTAATAAGACGAATTAGCTTGTACCCGGTTAAGGCGAATTGAATCGCTGCTGTCCACTGACGTAGCCAGGGAGGGAAACAAAGGGGCATTTGCCGCCTTCTCCCATGCCTTTAAATGTTATTAATAATTCAAAATTAAAATAAACAAAAAAATCAATTCAAGTCCTAGGTAAATAATCAAATACATACATATATTATAATATAGGTAACGTTCTATGGCCATAAATTCTTATAAAAATGTATGGCCGCATCTCCGCTTGCCTCCACCAATATTGAAGTGAAAAGACCGAAAAATTTCGCGCCTGCGGCGCTTTACCTCCGGTGGCGCTTGCGGCGAAGGTGCAAGGATCACTTCCTGCAAATTTGACCCCTCACCCAAAAGACAAAATCCTGGCTACGCCAATGGTGTTGCCGAAGCCGAGTATAGCCGAGTTACCGAAGGTGCACGAATTTTAATAATATGAAGGGAAGATCAATGATCCATCAGCGTGGCGATCTTGCAGTGAAATCGGCATCTGTCAACTGGTCCTATTTAAGCCTATGTGTCTAGTAGCCTGGCAATCTACAGTAGCCTGATGGTTCTGTCTATGTAATTAATTTTACTCATTAGGGAGGGAATATTTTTTACAAAGTTTCACTTTTTAATATGTGTACGATTATTTTTTTTATTGTTTTAATAGAGTTGGGAAAATTAGGAATGTCACTCCCCCCCCCCCAAACCAGAAGCCTTCGCTACGTCCCTGGTCATATTTCTAAATAGAACACAATGGAATTCTAGAAAAATCACTCTGTCGAGTCCTTTCTCGATTTTGAAGCCAGTATTAAAGTCTCTAGTTTTTCATCGCTTTATTATTTCCCAATGAAACATTATAGAAGATAATCCGTTTGTGAACTTGTGTTTCGATGTTTAAACCAGTAATAAAGTCACTATTCTTCTATAACTCAAGGTTTCCAAAATTCCAAATAAAATTCTATAAAAGTTTCTAGAATATCTTAAAAAATCTGTTTGTGAGCTTTTTTCTCGATGTCAAAACCAGTAATAAAGTCTCTATCCTGTATCACTTTACGGTTTCCAAATGGAACACTACAGACGGTTCTAGAATTTTCAAGACAATCCGTTTCCGAAAATTAATGTCCAATAATCAGTTTTTGGAGGATTTGAGGATGTATTCTAAAATACTTTATCGAGTCCTTGCTTAAATTAGGTATTCAAAAAAAGGGTTATGAGGGTTTTATGCAGCTAAAATTAAATAAAATTTGGGTTCAGTTTGTATTCGCTGTATAAAAAACAATTCAAACTACATAGGTATTATATTGTGAAAAAAATTAAATAAAACTTTTCTCAAAAAAGGCATATAATCAAAAAAGTAAAAATGTTTGAATCTAGATAATCGAACAAAGAATGTTTATGCCAATTTTGAGCCAATTCTGATATGTATGCAGTTTTTATCAATATCTACCATAAAACAGATTTCGAAATATCCGAGCACAGCATAAGTGAAAAATCGAGGAAAATGTCTCTGAAATACAATCCTACACCTATTTTGGACAGTTTCTGTTGATATTTCAAATTTCAATCAAAAAAGGCACGACACATATTTGGAATAAATTTAAACCATTTTCTGTTTTCTTTGCACTTTATTGATTAAAGGGAAAAAAAAGTAAAAAATCGCGGAAAGTGTCGTTCAAATTCAGTCTTACATCTGTTAATTTAGGGCAATTCCTGTATATTTTAATTAAAAAAGGTACAGGATGTTCCAACGAGGACTGAACAGGAGCCATTTATTCACCATCCCTGTATATTTGAAAAAATCCAAAACCCAACCGTTTCCAAAAATCATATGAAAAACAGAAAGGGTGTTCCATGAAAAAACTCTTCATCCATGGCGTAATAAACGATTGCGCACTGAAAAAATTAGTGAAAAATTTGCCTAATAAATATTTATTTGATTTTTTTTTATTTCACCCAAATAATGATTAGTTAAACCAACGACAATGTATTTGGTTTAAATAAATCTGCGTATTTGGTTTTTTCAAATTATTTGTTTGACTTCTAAAAATGATACGTGTTACATTATTAAATAAATATATATTTGGAACGAATGCCATAAATCTAATATATTCAGATTTTTTAAACGAAATAACAGCTACTTTAAATTAAATATTCTGGAATTTTTACAAAATAAACATGACCAAAATTCAAATAACTGGGATCTCTGTAGACATTTGGCAATTTACGCGCATGCTCGAGTGCCGAATACTGTGCTGTGTGCATCACTGCTCGCTCTTTCCTGTTGTTGGTTTGGCACGCGTCGCATGGTGTTACTTTGAATTTTTATTTTTCGGAGTGGTTTCCACAAGATGGAAGATCTTTTGGCAGAAGTGGGTGTGCAATATCTGTGGCCTTTAATACACAGTAAGTTGAAATTATAATACCTACATAATAGGTTTAATTCCAAATCATGCAAAAAATTTCAGCAAGATGGTGTCTCCAGAAACAAAAAAATACGTCGCCTTGGCCGATATAATTTTTATTGGGGACTTATTTCTACCTGGACCAGACAAACATGCTCTCACACAGAGGCAACAAGCAATAGGCAATTCGCAATAATATTGGACGCAAGTATTTTACATTTATTTAAATTAGAGGTCTCACATTAGAGCAACCAGCAATATTTTCCGTTCGACAGATATCGAGTTGCTCTAATGTAAGACCTCGGATTTAATTCAATGTACGATACTTGCCACCACAAAAACTGTGCATCAGACGAACCACCTGCAAAAATTTTCAGAAGTGCCATCGAAGTGAATCAGATTCCAAACATTGATGATGGGACAGGAAAAGAGAATAACGATGAACGACTGAATGAGAACGACCCTCCTGTGCAGCTTCACAATAATTTATTGATTTAACTAGAATAAAAACATAATTAGATTGAACAAATCAAGCTTTAAATGGAACAATTTGTTTATTTGGTTCAAAATAAAAGGGGTTGAATCAAATACTCGTTTTATTTACAATAAATAAATATTTATTTAATTTAAATATTTGCTATGAGCTAACTAATGCATGATTTATTTACTAGAACTAAATATTTATTTATTTTGTAAAAATGATTGATATTGAGCTAAACTAAGAATAATTTAATTCAAGCAAACGGAATAGAAACGGTCAAACAAATTCAGATTTTTTTTTAAACAAATATTTGTTTGTCCATTATCAACCAAATATTTATTTAAGGGAACTCCATTTTTCTTTGGACCAAATTATTTTTTTTTTCAGTGCGATGTTTTGGTATCCGAATAAAATTGTTTAATTATTTGCGCCAATTCAGGTCGTTCCACACTCACAAAGTTTCACACCAATCTTTGCGAAAGAATCTGAAACATTCACGGAATTTTATGAAGACTCAAAAAGAGATCAGTAGATATTATACTATAACAGTCAGAGCACGCACATGATTTCCTTCTATGCCCAAAAAAAATAAATTCTGATAAAATACCCCTTTGTTGAAGCATATTATAATAATCCTTGTTAATCTAAGTCACAAACTAATTAAACCATAATAGTTAAATCAGTGCCGGATTTACCAATTTGCCACCCTACGCCTGTTCTAGGCGCGTAGCCAGAAAATTCAGATGGGGTGGGGCTTTCGCTATTGAAATTAAGAAACATTACATGACAATAGGGACGTCAGAAAAAAAATTGCGCCGCAGGCGAAAATTTTGTAGAATTTGAAGGTCAATGCTTTATATGAAAAGAATAAAATTTTGAGGGTAAAAAAGTATATGCTAAAACATAGGTTTCGTGGTTTTTAATTATATTTTCTGATCAAGTGGGGGGGGGGGGGGTTTAACCCCTAAAACCTCCCCCGTGTCTACACACCTGGCCTGTTTGGAAAGGCCGCCCTCATGTTGGCACGAGCGGCGCCTACCTCAAAAAACGGGGGGCCAAGAAGATACAGGACTAGGACACGGACAGTGGCGTACAAAGCCAGGCTTTTGGAGGCGGACGGGGCCTACTTAACAGGGACGCCGGGATTTGCCGCCCTACGCCTGAGCGTACTGTGCGTATAGGGAAATACGGCACTGAGTTAAATGTATTAGTATAATAAACTTGATAGGTAGGTACCTACTATGGATGAAAATGCTTATTAAATCATGATAATGTTGAAAATAATTTTCAAGTACGATCCATTGATCCGCTTACAAAACTGAAATAAGAAAACCCTCACCTAACATTGTTCCTACAAAGACTGCTACTACCAGCAATACAACATTGATTCAATACTAATATATTATATTCACCCCATTTTTTTATAATCTTATAGGTAAAAATTTTGTAGATTTCTTCCCAGCTTCAGTCTTTGTTCCATTTTTAGCCTGCCCGGCTTTGTTTATGCCCAACATCCAACCTGGATAATCTTTAGATTCGTATGAATTGTAGCTGTGTCCATAGAAATCCTCTCGGAAAGTTGTTCCAGGCAATCCAGGATTTTCCTTAATTAAATTTACGTTAAAAACTTTTGGTTGTAATTGAAATATACCCACCTTGGCGCTTGGTTTACCATTTTCTCCAAAACAAACATAAAGTCCTGAATGGATTCCTCTAATTTTTACTGTGCCGATTTCATCTCCTGACGATAGTTCTAAATGGGCTGAAATAATAAGTTGAATTTGTATGACACTGTTCGCTTTTGTCCTTTATGGAAAAATATAGCACACAAATTTGTCCAAAGAAAAGAAAAGGAAAAGAACAACGTTTACCCACTGTATGGATCAGAATTATCGTCTGTTCCAGATATTACTCCGGAATCTGAAATACGCAACAGGAAGCCTCTTTCGCAGTAAAGTTGTAGTTTATTTCCAAAAGGAGTTCCATTATCCTCCATATTTCTAAAAAAAATCATGGAATTGTGGAAAATGTTTACCTAAATGTGCGTATTAGGTCATGACTATTATCGGAATTCACATTGTGACTAGACCTGTTAACTGACTACTATACATATAACTGGTCTTTCCCACACCCATACACTAGCACTAGATGTTTCAACTAAAATCTGCATTTCCTTAACAAACTATTAGTAAGTAGGTACTTAATACATTTATCCTAGTTTAAGTAGTCTCACATTTCCGAGCATAATAACTATTAAGTATACCTAATATGTTTCTAAATTTAGGAACTCAGAAAAGTCCTATACTTTTGAATAAAATAAATAGATTATTTCGGGCTATTTTATATCGCGGTCCCAATAAATTCTCCAAAATAATATTTCATCTATACATATCTAGATCTATTTATCGTTACTGACATCATTTGACCCCGGATACACTATATCCAGTGGATTTTATGTGTTTGTGGTAAGTAAAAGTAAATTAAATGTCATAAGTAGGTACCTATGTAAGACATTTTTCTACGGTTATTATCAAAAATTTCACCAATTTTCCGCCATGTATTATCTCGCAACACATTTTCATCTTTGCAACTGATGTGAAGTTGATGACAGTATAGCTATTTTCCTAACGAGTGCGAGAAGAGAAATTTCCAACCCGATAAGGAGAAGCGCTCGAGTGCCGGAAATTTCTTCCCGCAAGCGTTGGAAAGACGGCCTTGGAAAGAGACGGCTAGGGGACTGCTAAGAACCTAGTTTTCCGGCTCAAAGATAGTTGGTCAGACTTAGTGGACATGGAATGAGTTTAGGCCTCGACTCGGAGCGTCCAGGAAAGCCTGTAAACACCTTTGACCCGTATTCGCCCTGAGCATGACTAGTCCCGCCGTCTGGCGGATACGAATCAAGATAGCGGGAGGTAAAGTTGTCATTTTTTAATTTAAATTTTTGTGAAAATACAACAGTGGCGAGCGTTTTTTGCAAAAAATAAACGTGATAAAGAGCTTATTTTTGTGTTGTCAAAAATTTCGGTAAGTGCATTTTGTCAAATTTTCGTAATTTCGTTATAAATGTTTGCAGCAATCCACTTTTGTCTCTGGACTAATCGCCACTGGCTTCGCGGAAATTTATAAAATTTATATTTGCTATTTACGCTTGTGTTTTTGCAATCAACCACGCAACAATAATTACGGCCCATTTTATTTTGTTCAAAATGATCGTATGCTTGCAATTTACCTCATTACCTCCCAAGTTTCACTATTTCTCCGCCTCGCGCGCTGACAGTCATTTTAAAATCCCCTCGCCTCGGACGCTCACACCATCCCATAATATTACAGAACTGAACTGAACTAAGCACACAGGATAATTTGCAACATTCTAAGAAGAAGCCTATAGCCTTCGGCTATACATATATCAAAGACAAGGACAAGGAACATTAGGATAACGTTCATACCAAAACTAGGAAAATAGGACAGGACACGGCAAAGTCCCTGAGATCCATTAGTCTTACGTCATTTGAATTTAGGACACTAGAAAGAACTTGTGGAAAGGCAAGCCGACCAGTATGCATATCGGAAAGGAATGTCAACAGAAATAGCGCTTCACTAATCTCTAGAGATCACATTGGAAAACAGGAAAGTGTTGCTGAGCTCCTTTTTGGGCATAGAGGGAGCTTTTGACAAAACTCAATAGATCTCTTAAGCACAAAGGAGTTGAGGACCCCTGCTGGGTGACGTGTGTGGATCAACTCCATGCTAATAGAACGAATGGTTTTTACCACTGGTGCAGAGAAGACATTAATGCCATTGGTAGGATATTATCCCTGCTCCTGTGGAATCTTTAAGGAGTAATGGTGCTCACGGACGGAGTACACCGTGCCCCGTGCCCGAATATGCTGACGACATATAGTTATCAACTCACGGGGCAAATTCAACTTTACAGTTGGGGAGCGAATGCAAAATAATTTAGACCGAACAACAAGACGGGTGCATAGAGAAAGGTTAACTATCAGTCCCAAATAATCCAGCATTGTGGCATTTACCCGAACGCTCAAATTACAAGACCTGGGACCACTCAGACTAAAGGGGGAAACATACAGATTTCGAGCGAAGTCCATAAGTACCTGGGGGTAACAGTGGTCTAAAAACTTACCTGGAATCAGCATCTGGGAAACAAAAAAAAAACAACAGATCGTTCGACGTCAGCTTCCGAAGTAGAACTGAACAGGAACATGACATACTGGAGACCAAAAACCGGGACCGGACCTGGTACACAGGCAAGTCGAAGACTGCGGCTGGTTCCGGGGCAGGGGTATACTCCGCCAGCTACAGCAATCACTATGCACTAGGGGAGCATGTTGTTGTTTTCCAGTGCGCAGCGGATAATGGAAAGCTGTAGCCGACAGGCAGATCCTTATAATCTCCGACAGTCAAGCGTCACTGAAGGCCCTTTCGAGCCAGACAGAGTGCCATCAAGACCAATATGGGATTTCCAGGAAGAAGTCAGGGTTCTGGCGTCACACTGACGGAGACTTCAACTGCAGCGTCTGCAGTAAGGAACTCGAGACAGCCAGACACATCCTGGTAAACTGCGAGGCACTGGAACGTACGGACACAACATTTTTGGGCAACAAACCCAGCATAGTCCCGGAAACAATAATGAAACACCACCCAGTAAAAGACCTATTCAACCTTGTACAGGGCACCAAAAGTGGTTGGAATAAAGCAGACAGGCTCAGTATAATAAGCCTAATAAGCCTTCTCAGGCCTCAGTGCTACATGGGGACAATAATTCGGAGAGGCCTGAGAGAGAGAAAAAAAAATAGGAAAAAAGCTAATAAGTTGACACAAACAACAAATGCAAATACACAGAACTCAAACACTCATACTGATAGAAGGGTGTCAGACTACAAACAGGTGACTTTACTACAGACACTACAAGAAATAACGACTTATGAAGAGTGCAAATTAAAAGAACAACGACTTTGAGCGGAATGGAAATGAAATCTTGGAAATCGAATAGAAACTAAGCTAAATCTTGCTTGAGGCTGGCGCTCGAGTGAACCTTATAGCACAGAAGAGAGCGGGCAAACGGCAAATCTACCTTTGTGAGAAGAAACGGCAGCACCCAGATAGACGTATATTTTGCGACTATGCATCTAGCCCGTAAAATAGGCCATTCTCTAGAACAAACCCATGATCCCGCATAAAGCTTATCACTTTTATCGCCAAAGAAAACCAATATGAGGGGCGAATTAGGATTTAGGAAACCGAACTTTGAAAGAGTCTTACTATAAGTATCCAGTATGCCAATATGCCATTCTGGCGGACGGAGTAAATAAAAAACCAGAGAGCCGTGCATGAAGGCAATAAGAACGCAGTGAAAAAGGTTGTATCCATTAAAATTTAAACTAGTGTAATTTTGGAGACAAATGGCGTTTGCTTATAACACTGCATGTCAAAACCGTCTCGAGGAACAGAACTTTGTAAAATGTAAACAAAAGAGGAGTATATCTGGATACTTGGTAAATATAATTATAGACTATTTTAAACAAAGGCGAATCAGCCTGAACCAGTCACAGCTAGCAGGAATGATAACAGCAATCAAAAAGAACAATAATGTACAGCCCTCCAATCCTCCTTTTGAAAAGACCCCAGACCCCACCAATGTTGGTTCAGAAGACATTCCAAAAATATCAAAAAAAAAAGTTCGATCTGCGTTAAAACAAATGAAAAACCGAAAATCACCCGGAGAGCCAGAAGATTTAGGATGGGCGGAAATATTGTTGAGGAAATTCTACAGGACCTATTTACATACATGTGGCAAAATGCGAAATTTATCTTGCTTTTTTAAGAATGGGCCATACGGCAGCCTACAGACCAATCACTATTGCTGTCACTCTTTAACAAACTCTTTAGATTGGATGCCTATCAGCCAGCAGAGCAAGAGCAGGGAGTGTTTAGAAAGGGCTACGAACCATAGACCATTTACAGACCATCAGAACAGCTTAGCTTTGGAAGACGTCTTTGAATTACTGTCATAAGAGTATTATTAGATGGAGCCTATCTAAACTCTAAACCATCCACCTTTCGCCGATGACATCGGTTTTATCAGTGCAGACCCTCCAGGAGCTGAGGGCCAGGTTGGAAGAACTTACCCGAGCTTCGAAGAATGCTGTTCTAAGGATAAATTAATGCAAAGCTGAGATCATGAGTAGCATTAGCAACAAGCAGATCTTTTGAAGGCAAACATTAAGAGGATGTGGAAGAATATAAATGCCATCAAAATTGGCAAAGATGATCTATAACAACTGAGATAAAATATAGAACTAGGTTAACATGGCTGCTTTGAAAAATGTAGTTCGAACCCTGGATATTCCAATCAAACAAACGAAAATTGTATAATTACATTTGCATGCAATTAATTTGTCGCAACTTATGGCGTAGAGACTATGATGACAGTCACAAAAAAGTGCAAATCAGCTAAGAACTATGCAAAGAGCTATGAAGAGACTGCGGAGGGAGTTTTAGGATTCTGCGGGACAAGATCCGACACGAAGAAGACATAAGAAGAGCAAATAAAAGTGGTGGATGTCGCACTGAAATGGCGATGGGTGGGGGTGAGGCATGTGGTGAGACAGAATAGAGACCGACCGACATACAAAATTGCACATTGCGGAGACATAGTAAAACAAAAAGAAGTGTAGGAAAGGAAGACCACCAAAAAAGATGTTTGGCTGACATCAATAGAATAGAAGATGACCAGGTACCAGATAGGACTTTTCAAAATAGAATAGTAGGAAAACAAACACTCAAGTCTCTACCAGAGGATTTTTCAACATTTTTGGTTTATTTGAAAATTTTTTTGGCCGAATAGTTTCTGGTATGTAGGTATATTAATCACCATAATATCCATGAAGAATAAAACTTTTCTTACTTTTTAAACAATGTGCCCAGGTATAGGAGTGGAGAGCAAAATTAATATTTTGTATTTTTATATCACTT